AATAATTTAAAAAAATATTTTAAAAAAATAATCCCTTTAACTATATACAGTCTATCCTATGCATTGTGACAGAGCTTGCTTCTTGAGCTTTGCGAGATGTTTGTCACAATCACTGGTTCATTTTCAATGCCGTCCTAGACTTGTCTTTAAGTCTCTATTCCGCTGCAGGTAGGTAATTGTTTATTCTCATCTTGATGATGTTTTTAGCAAATGAAATGCTTTTCCCCTTAACCGGCTGCTGCTATGCCACCAAGTACTTGGTGAGGAGATCAAAGAGGGTCCCAGATTCCTCTGCAAACTGGACATTGTGCACTGAGGGGAGGGGGAGGATCTGCACTATAACCCCGGTAGCCAAAATTCATGCCAACAATCCTGTATGTCTTCCAGCTTGCCGGGATTGCTGTCCTTGCCATTGGACTATGGCTCCGATTTGACTCTCAGACCAGGAGTATCTTCGAGCAGGAAAATAACAATTCCCACTTCTACACAGGTGAGGGGGTGCGATGTGGAGATTCAGTATCAGTGCCGAGACCTGAGCTTGGGAAAGACTTCTGCTCTTGCCGGTTTGGTCAGAGCTTCTGTTTTCAAGCCACGCCTTTGTGTCATTGTGCCCTTGAATTTGCATTTGGTTGATGTGGTTTCTTTTCATGCTGGCTAAGTCTGGCATTTTGACCATTCTTTGATGTGAAATTGATTTTGCCCAAGTTGCTGCTGCCTCCCTTGAGAGGTTAAGAACCCAGAGCCTTGTCCCTGAGCCTCTCTCCTAATAACATGTCTTCTAAAGCTTTGTCATTTCCCTAATTCAAATGACTTTGTCCCAAGAGTCCCCAGTGTCAAGAGAATAGTCCACAATTCTTCCCACTGTTCAAATAGGGACCCTGAAAACCAGAAGATGACCTGCCTCCTGGAAATGCAGTCATCTCCATGGGGAGACTGGAAGAGACCCAGCCCTTTACACCCTAGTGCTGCCGGGTGTCTAATTTTATTTTCTGTACAGCTTTTGCTCTAAAATGTCCAGTCTTAACACACCTGGGCTCCCTCAGGAGCTCTGGTGGCACAGTGGTTAAAGAACTCAGCTGCTACCCAAAAGGTTGGCGATTCAACCCATCTCCTGCTCCACAGGAGAAATATGTGGCACTCGGCTTCCCAGAAGATGTGCAGCCTTGGAAACCCTACAGGCAATTTTAGTCTGCCTTGCAGGGTCACTGAGAGTCAGAGTCAACTCTGAAGGCAGTGGGTTTGGTTTTTGTTTTGGTTTGTTGGGTTGGGTTGGTTTCTCTCTGGAGGAAGGATCTTCTAAGGAGCCCCTGGGTAGTACAAATGGTTAAGCATTTATCTACCAATCAAAAGTTTGAGCGTTTGAACCCCCAGGAAGTCACACTGGACAGCTTGGAAATGCTGTAAACAGTTCTTTTTGTAACACAGAATCACCATGATTCTGAATCAACTTGACTCTGGCTGGCTGGGTTTTTGGTAGGCGAGGTATTCCCTAGACCCAAGGAGACTTGAGCTCTGGTGGCCTAGTAGTAGGTAAAAAGCTGTGCAGCAATCCAGAAGGCATGTGGTTTGAATCCACCAGCTGCTTCACGGAGAAGGATGGACAATCTCCTCCTGTGCCATTTACTGCCTCTGAAAACCCCATGGGTCCATTCTGACTCAGAGGCACACAACAACAAGACTTGGGCATGTTTGCTTCTTTCTACTCATGGGCTCCTGGGCGTCTTTTTTTCTCATCCTTCCATGGCTCTGGCTGCCTCGCCCACACACAAACAGCCTCACTAAGAGGAACCGAAGTTTAGATGCCTGGCAAATGCAATTAACCAAGTTTCCAAGTAAACAAGCAGTATTTGTGGCTCTCCTGGTCTGGGGGTAGGAAACATTTCATTTGCGAGAAGCAACAGAAACCCACTATTTTTAGGGTGACACTGGCATGTCATCAGTCTCAAAGTGTAACTTTGGTCACTTCCTCCCCACCCACCAAAAAAGTTATTTTTACGAAAGACAGAACAGTCTGAAAAGGGTTATCTCCCAGGCTTGTAGGAAGAGCGGCTGGCCAGCCTTCTCCCTTCCACAGGCCAGGCTTCCATCCTGCTGGGAAAGTTTTTAAAATCTTTACAAAACAGCCTTCCAAGTTGTGTAACACCTGAGCCTTGTGGATCCTTTTACTGGCTTTACTGCCTTTTTCCCCCCTTCATTGTTGGTGGGAGGCTTTTTTTAAGGGTGTGTCTCCCTATTGTCAGGAGGAGGAAAGTGAGGAAAAGAAAAAAGCACAGTGTGTGTTTTTTTTTAAAAAAAAAAAATTTACACAGAGCAGTTTTACAGGAGCAGGTTTCTATAGTGCCCCAGCTTGTTTTAGCAACCGATCTGACTGTGTTTGTGTGTATTTTGGACCGGTTCCCCGTAGGACTGGATCAGTAGGGGCAAGAAGGGTTATTTAGTAAAAGATATGTGGAGTCCAGGGTGCCAAGGGGGAAACTTTAATGTTCCACATCCTGATGGAACTGTGAACACGCCTCAGATCTGCAGGCAGAAATGAAGCAGGTGACATATTTTCAGAAAGTTTTAAGAGACAGGTGTTCGAGCCTGTCTGGATGTTTACCAGAAGGGATACTTCTGTTGTCCCATTGTTTTCTGCAGGGTCTTGGGCTCAAAAGGCTCTGCTCCTTCTTGACAGCCAGGCTTTTTATTTTTTTTGTTTTCTAGGACTTGTCAACTAGTTCTATATAATTATAGCTATGGGAGGCAAGGCTCTCGAGGTAAATTGATGGAATTATGAGGACAAACTCCTTCTTGGTATGTTCAGTTCAGAGTTGCACAGAGCTCACCGTTGTTGTTGAGTTTAAACCTCCTAACTCTGCCAGGCACATGGAATGATGCCCATTTCACAGGTGAAGAAACCAAGGCTCAGGGAGGTTCAGTCACTTTCCCAAGCCCATGTCCCTCAAGGACTAGAATTTGAACCCAGGTGTGTGAAATTCTCTTCAGGGATTATCTATGCTAGATTACAGGTGATGTTCCCAATGGAAGAATGGGAAATATCTCCACTAACCAAGCTGACCATTTACAGGGACCTGTAGAGCCTTCCTTAGCTGGTGACTTCAGCAGCTATAGTCCTCAGAGAGAAGCTTCTAGCCCCAGGGGGACCGAGTGGGCATGCTGGTGGAAGTTCCACGTCTTGTCTCTGGGAACCTTACAAAATTCACTCCACTCCCTCTCTGGGAGCCAGATGGCATAGTGCAGGATATGGTGGGCAGAAAACCAAAAGACTGATGGTTCAAATCCACCAGCCACTCTGCAGGAGAAAGATTGGCCCCATCTTTTCCTGTAAAGTTCCACAGCCTTGGAAACACAATGGAGGGTCTCTGTGACTCAGAAGAAACTTGATGGCAGAAGGTTTGAGGGGATGGGGGTGCTCACTGCAGAGCCCCTAATGGATAGTGTTCTGACCTGTCATGACCAGGAGAATAGCTCAAAGACTCAAAAGAACAATCCCAAAGAGACACAGAATTCCCTCCAGAAAGGTGAGTGGCCACTGTCCCATTGGTTCTACCAAAGGAGTAGGGTCTTTTGAGGCTGGGAGCCCACAGACGGAATGACACCAGCACATCAGCAAACCTAGTGGCTTTTTCGACCCAACTGGGTTCTGTGCCTTACCCGGTGCTTTGGGAAATGGAGTCCTTATAGTCTCTGGGCAAAGGGCCAAGGAGGTTTCACTCTGCGTGTTCTTCCCCTGGTAGTAATGAGACCAGTATCTGCCAGCAGATGAGCTTGGAGTGCCTGCTACACCCCGACATCGTCCCCACACATGGAGTGACCATCCCTTGCCCTGGGCACTATCTGTCCTCCGATCATCACTCAGGTGGCCTAACCATAAACTGAAAAAAATCCAGGCCATTTGTCCTCCAGCAGAAAAAAGTAGTAAAGTAGAGAAAGATTATATAACCAGGCAGAGAAGCAAGTGAAAACAGAAACTTTTTCCAATGTTTAGAACAGTCCATAGTGAGTCCAGAATGGCTGACAGCCTTATATGGGCCTTCTCTCTGCTTCAGGCCCTGGGAGATTCAGACTGTCAGCAGGATCCGTAATCCCAGGCTGCAAGCACGTTGGGGAACTGTGTTTTCTTGGTGCTGGGCCAGCAGCCCTTCTTAACTCCTTGGTGTCCTTCCAGAACCATAGCCACAGAACAAAAGCATCTGGGGGCTCCAACTCGTGGCTTTCCACCCTCCCTACAATCGCCTTCTTCTATGACAAGTGCCTGGCGATTTCTAGGACACAGCACTTGCCTTTAGCATGCCAGTGTCCCATTGCTGGCTCCTGGCCTGGACGGGGCCAGTTTGTTGGGTTGCTCTGTGTCTCTTTTCCCCATCCTGAAACTGGCATCATCTCCACACCCATGACTCTGAGACTGAGAATTACTGTACTGGACAAATGCAGTTCCACTGCAGTGCTCGTTTATGAGAACAGCCATCCAAGGGAGGGAGGGGGACCAGGGGAGAACCCTTGAGAATTGAAGTTAGGGTTCCTTGGAACACCTGGCTGAGTTATTTTGAAATAATAAACTATTCCAAGTAGGTAGGGCCCAGGACTTCTGCTGGGTTTTGTCCTCGTGCTTAGAAACAGGTGGTGCTGTTTGAAGCTGGAGTGAGATGGTAGTGACAAGAGATTTGATGTGTCCACTACTTTGCCAGATCAGGTGAGAAAGGATATTTTACTTCTGGTGTGAAGGATGCCGCTGCAGATGTTACTGCTATACCAGCGTTTACTGTTATTAATATTGCTTTAACCAGCCTATAATGTCAAGCCTGAAAAAAGCAGAACAAACAAAACAGCCCTTGAGCAAATGCATACAGTAATCCTAGAGAAGACTCCGTGACGAGTAACTTTTTCCATGAGTCAGACAGAAAGCTAACATCCACTGATAGAAAAAGGGGAACGGTCTGTCACTGCCGGCTGTGATAGTAGGCTTGAGATGCTGGCCCCAGGTGGCCTCTCCAGAGGGAAGCCCTGGATGGATGGCCATTTGAAGAAGCAACCCAAGCCCACAGTGGCTCCACAGCTACTGGGAAGTTTGCTTTCCAATCAACCACCCTTAGCCAATGTCTGCTGCTGAAGTCCCCGTGGACATCTGCGGGGAAACTTGTCTTCAGCATCAACTGAAGAAAGCAAGATCTGCAGCCGTCTGCACAATATTTAAAGGCAGCAAAATCCTTCTTACTCTGCTGAGTTATAGGACAAATATTTCATACTAGGTGACCTAGTATTTTCATTTTCTCATGCTCTCTACATGGGAAATGCTTTTTCTTTTAGTAGCCCACCATGGTGCTGGCTCAGCTCTCCTGGCTTCTGCACTGGGCCTGGACTTAAAACACATATGTCTGCTCAATTTGCACTCTGAACGTCATGTGCTTAGAAATCGTTTTGATCTCTTGATGGCTCCCTCTGCACTCCCCCCTGCTGTAAGCCTCACTCTCTGTTGTCTGATGAGATGAGGAGACTGGGTCTCTTTTCTCACCTCACTGTCTAGTGCCCCCACGTTAGAGCCGAGACCCAAGGTGCTGCCCCTCCCTCAGCACCCACACGGCATAGAGCTGCTTTGCCTCCTGAGGCCAGCCGGGCCCCACTGTGTCTACACAGGAGGATGGGACTAGACTCGGTGACAAGCCTCATTTGTCACCTTGCCCAGTCTGGGCTGGGTGTGCATGGGAACAATGCCCATATTCACATACCACTTCGGGGTTTGCCAGGAAGCCCACGTGACGTGACATCACAACAGATGTGGGGGAAGAGGGGAGAGGCACAAATGTGCCCTTGTGTGTGTGCTGCTCCATGCCGCCCAGGACTCAGCTGAGGGCGGATTGCACGGTCAGTAGCCTGCAGAGCCATGGCCCGGCACTGAGGGTGCATATGGGAGACAGTGAGATCACTGTGTCACTGCAGAGGGTTTTCATTGCAGCCCCCTGTTGTTGTGTATTGTGGGCAGCATCACAGGCGCTCTGATTTTCAGCCTCTGCTTTGGGGATGTGTCTCTAGTACTAGTTTGAGAGTGGTAGGGAGACAGCAGCAAATGATAGATAGATAGATCAGACAGACAGAATGTGTGTGTGTGTGTGTGTGTGTGTGTGTGTGTACACACATAAACAATTGGTTCCATGGCTGTTAATAATTATCACCTACCCATTATTACTCCAAAGTACTGAAGAGCAATGGTGTCTCTCTGGAGACTAAGGTGTGTCTGATACAGGCCATGGTCTTCACAATCACTTGTTATGCATCAGAGAGTTGGACAATGACTAAGGAGGATAGAAGGAGAATTGATGCCTTTGAGCTGTGGTGCTGGAGAAGAGTATTGAGAGTACCATGGACTGCTAGGAAAATAAACAGATTCATCCTGGAAAGGGTTAAACCGGGCGCCTCCCTGGAGGCAAGGATTCTGAGGCTCCATCTAACATACTTTGAACATGTTGTAAGGAGAGACAGATCCTTGGAGAGGGACATAATGCTTGGTAGGGTGGAGGGACAGCGCAGGAGGGGAAGACCCTCTGAGGTGGATTGATTCAGTGACTGGGGTAATCGGGATGGGTGTATCGGAGACAGTGTGATTGGCACAGGACAGAGCAGAGTTTAGGGCTGTTGTACATAGGGTCGCTATGAGTCACAAGCGACTCAACGACACATAACAACAACAACAACCCATTATTACTATGGTTAATAATAATTGTTGTTGTTGTTTGGTACTCACACTGATTCTGACTCATCACAACCCACATGTTGCAGGATAGAACTTTTCTCTGTAGTTTTTAAGGCAGTGACCATTCAGAAGCAGATCTCCAGACCTGTCCTTCAAGGTACTCTGAAGTGGGTTCCAACTGCAAATATCCTGGCAAGTTGAATATTTAACTTTTTATTAGCTAAGGTTAACAACAGCTAGCATTTACTCTGGTGGCCTAATGGATAAAAGTTGCACTACAGTCCCAATAGTGCACAGTTCAAATCTGCCAGGTGCTCTACAGGAGAAGGATGGGCAGTCCCTTCCTGTGAGATTTACTTCCTTTGAAAAGACACTGGAGGGTCCACTATGGGTCAGTTCTGACTTGACAGCACACAGCAATAACAAGTGTTCTATCACTTAATTCTCACAATACCTCTTAGGGGAGGTATTACTATTCTCTCCATTTTGCTGATAGAAAACTATTGCACAGAGGGAAGAAGTGGCTTGGCCAGAGTCACAGAGCAGGTTTTAACTTGCAGAACTGGTGACAGCATAAAACATCCCTACAAGACAGGGAGTCCTAGAACGTCTCTTCTGGTTTTCCCATGGAGCCTGCTAGGGAAGATGGGGGTGGTCCCTGCTGGCTAAGACCCTCTAAGCTTCCCTTGGGAGGTTCATGGAATGGACAGGGTTGGACCACTGGTTCCCTATTCTAGGGCTTGGTGTGTTACTGGGTCAAAGGAAGGTATTCTGAAAACCATTGCCCTTCTCACTGCCCCAGTTATTAAATTTGAGCCTTGATAATGGTGTCGCACACCCTTCCCTTAGCAAGAAGAATCCATTCACCCTTCAGCCAGAGGAACTCAATTATAGCTGTAAGAGTTCCTTAGTGCGCTCTAAAGACATTCTTTGACGTTTTCTAGCAACCAGCCTCTTTGATTTTTCTAATAAGAAAATCACTGAGAGAGCGTCAACATCATACAGCAGTTAGTGCCCTTGGGTGTGGCTGTACATGGTGACAGGCAGGGGCACCACTTTTGGAACCCAAAGAGAGCCTGGCTACCCAAGAGCATGAGGGGGGAGTGTGCACAGCCCCTTACCTGGCAGCCTTTCCTGAGAGGCAAAGGCCAGCTGGAGGCTCAGCTGAGCTCAGGAAGCAAGCCCAAGTACAGAGGGTCTTCTGTAACTGGCTTTCATTAGAATTAATCTTGCTAGAAGCAGCTAAACCAGTGTGTCCTGAGTAGAATCTGGAGGTCCCCATGGATACTGTGTGCCCTAGAGTGGGAGGCAGGGAGCTCTGGTGGCCTAGGAGTAAGAAATCCCAAGGCATATATTTTGAATCCACCAGCAGCTCCGTGGGAGAAGGTTGGGCAGTCTCCTCCTACGCAGTTTACGGCCTCCAAAAACTTGCTGGAGGATCAACTATGAGTTGGTTCTGACTCGATGGTACACAACCGCAAAAACAAGAATGGGAGGTAATAGGCACCTTCTAGGAAAGGAGGCAGAGTTGAGGGCGAAGGCTTGAAGGGGCCGAGTCCTGGAGAGCAGATGATGGGAAGGGGGACCAAGAGCAGAAGTGGAGGAGGTTGGTTTTTTGTTTGTCTGGTTTTGTTGGGTTTTTAGGTTTTCTTTAAGACAGAAGCTCTAACCTATAACGAGAAGATAAAAATAGACGAATGGGATCTTCTAAGAATCAAATCCCTATGCATATCAAAAAATTTCTCCAACAGGGTAAAAAGGAAAGCCACAGATTGGGAAAAAGTATTTGGGAATGACATATCAGATAAGGGACTTATATCCAGAATTTATAAAATACTTGAGCACCACAACAAGATAAAGGTAAATAATCAAATAGAAAAATGGGCACAGGATATGAACAGACACTTCACCAAAGAAGACATTCAGATGGCTAACAAGCACCTGAAGAAATGTTCAAAATCCCTAGCTCTAAGAGAGATGCAAATCAAAACAATTATGAGATGTCATCTCACCCCAGTCAGAATTCCAAAATTTAACAGAACAGCAAACAACAAATGCTGGTGAGGCTGTGGAGAGACTGGAACCCTTATTCACTGTTGGTGGGAGTGTAAAATGGTGCAACCACTGTGGAAGGCGGTATGGAGCTTTCTCAAAAAGTCGCAAATAAAGATACCATTTGACCCAGCAATTCCTCTATTGGGAATATACCCCAAAGAAACCATAACTGACATCCAAACAGATATATGCACACCCATGTTTATTGCGGCTTTGTTCACAATAGCAAGGAGTTGGAAACAACCTAAGTGCCCATCAACAAACGAATGGATAGAGAAGCTGTGGTATATTCGCACAATGGAATACTACGCTGCATTGAAAAAATAAGGAACTCATGCAATATTATTCAAAATGGGTGACCCTGGAGGACATTATGCCGAGTGAAGTATCTCAGTCACAAAGGGACAAATATTGCATGGTGCCACTGTTGTAAAGCAGGACTGACCTCGGGGTTGGGAGGAGACTGAGAAGGATGGGTTCAATAATGTATACTGCATTGAAACAGATGAGGGAGAAAACTAAGAGGAAAATTATTAGGTATTTCTGTCATGACAGGAGTCCAGGACAAAGGCTGTATAGTGGAGTAGACCTGGGGAGAGGGATTGTAAAACAATGAAAGAATTTTTCTTTTACTTTTCCAAGAGGGCGGCGTACTGGAGGGGGGAGGATTGGGAGGGGAGAAAAGTGCAACAATAAATTAATGGAAATCCAAAGTCTCTAAATTTTCATTGATATTAATAATAAATTTTTTTAAAAAAGGCAGAAGATCTAGAACAGGAAGAGACATAAAGTCATGTAAAGGGGAAAACAAGTTACAGGAAATGTCTGGGTCATCAAATAACTGTCGTCATGAGTCCTTCTCCTCTGCCCTTTCCTCACAGGCGTTTATATTCTGATTGGAGCCGGGGCCCTCATGATGCTCGTGGGGTTCTTGGGCTGCTGTGGGGCTGTGCAAGAGTCCCAGTGCATGCTGGGATTGGTGAGTAGCCCTTTTGGTTCCCTATCTAACTCCTTCCTCTCCCAACTTGATCTCAGCAACCCAGATCCACAGAGCTGATGAAAGGGAGTGGGAAGGGGCAGAATGGGGTGAAGAGGGTACCCTGAGGACATGAGCTATCCTCAGTCTGCCCAGTGTTCTCCACTCTGGGCTCCTGCCCAGCAAACTAGCCAGGCAGCCATCTAGTCCTGCAGATCCCTTTTCCTACGGGAAAACTTCACTCCTCTGCATTTCTGGAGCCTCTCTTACCACTTCCCTTAGACAACTATATGCCAGGTCTTTGTTTTTCCTTATCTCAAGGACCATGTTTGCTTTTTTACCCTGAATCCATAGGTACCTCTGCCTTTCCATTCCTCCTTGTTTCAAAATGTGTTCCAATTTCTCTTACCCTTCACAGGGGTGTTCATGTCCATTCTTTCCCCCAAACCTTCTCTATGGTTTTGTGAGTGAACAATAGTTTTTCATTGCTCTTAACTAACACCCTATAAACACCAGTTTGGGGGTTGGTACCTACTGAATAGGTACACTTTCCTGCTATAATTTTCACTTTCCCTGATTTGGCTTAACCTTTTCTGTCCTGTAAGCCTTACCTGTCATTCTAGGTTGTTCCTCGTGTCCCTGTAAGTTGCCCCTCTTCTTCCAAAATACCATCTGGTTAAACAGCTTTGCTTTGAAATCCCAGGGCCTGACTTTCTGATTTTCCAGATGTTTGGATGATACTTTTCCTCACTTTTGTCTCCTTTCCCCTTTTTTTTTTTGTCTTCTAGTTCTTTTGTTTCCTCTTGGTGATATTTGCCCTTGAAATAGCCGCAGCCATCTGGGGATATTCCCACAAAGAAGAGGTAAGCTTTTCCCATATGGACCTGCCATGATTTGGGGTGGGACAGATAATGAGGATGGGAGGATAGGTAGGCTAGGCACTCTGGTCGGCTTTCAGCCCTCGACCTTGCCCCTGTGTGCCATATCCCCACTTGCCATCGGAACACAGCTTCTTGGGCACGTGGAATGTGAGCATTTATCACTCTGTGTGGGGTGTTATGCTAACTATTGTTTGACCAGTTCCCTAAATGGCATCCTATAGGAGATATTCAGGAAATATCCAGTGAATCCATGAATGTGTGTGTGTGCTTGTGCAATGTGTGTGTGAGTATACACTTGTGCAGGCATGCGCACACATATATAATTCTATTGTCGAAGAATGACATGCATCTGAAAGTGCAATCAGGGTGATTTGTACCCAGAAGTATAGGGTTTGAAAAGGCCTGGGCAAGAGGATCTCTTACAGGAGAAGTAGACATTGGCCCGATACAAACTCATCCCCTTCAAATCAAGTCTAACTCATAACAACCCTCCTTTGGATTTCCAACGCTGCAAATCTTTGTGGGAGGAGACTACCTCTATTTTTTCTGAGAAGCAGCTAATAAATTGAAACCACAGATCTTCCCACGAGCTGCCCAATGTGTCACATACACACTGTGCCACTAGAGCTCCTTGAATGAGAGATAGGATTTCAGAAGGAGAGTCGGTAGGACAAGTTCAAGATTAAAGGAAGGGTCTGAGTGCAGCTGAGTTTGGGCTTCAGTGAGGAGCCACAGAAGAGTTCAGAGCAGCATTGGAGAAGGGCTGTCTTGCGATGGTTAGTAGGAAGGAGAAGAAAAGATGAGAAACTCTAGATAGAAGGATCCTGGAAGTTGGTTGGTTGGTTTTAATGTTTTCATAATCTAAGCATTAAAAGTTGCAACCTCAATTCGACGGGTATGTGAACTGAAGGAAATGGGTAGGATCTTTTGTGAAAAATCAATGTATTCAAACTTTGTAAATAAATCTGCATAATTTTTTTTTAAAAGTTGCAACCTATGAAAACCCAAAATCTCTGTAAATGTGCATTAAAACTAATAAAATTTAATAATAATAATAAAAAACTAATCAAGTAAAACATGGAGGTGATACAAGTCAGCCATTAAAACCAATGTTTCAACTAACAAAAAAGAATCAGTTATCTGATGATTTGGTGGCTAGGGGTCACAGAGATACGCAGTCTGACAGTTTCAGCATCAAACTTCTCTAATTTCTACCACCATACCTTCTACTACTAAATCAGCAATAAAAGATGTGCAAGCAACAATGTACTAATTAAACTCTAAAGGCTATTTTGCAAATAAAGAGAACGACTCTAAAATATTTTTTTAAAAAAAGTTGCAACCTGTCTTTGGAAATAGAAAGGGATAACTACAAAATATGTTAAAGGAAATTGTTGACTATTGGGTCAGTTAATAGGATTTGGAAGTCAAAGGAATAGACATGCATCCAACCTAAGTGCAAGGTGAAAAAGTTGCAACTCACAGCTCACTCTTATTCCAGATTAGATCTGTGGGAGGAAGAGTAATATACCGAAGCCTTAACATGCAATACCTCACTTCATCCTCATAGTAACTTATGAGGTGGTGATAGTTAGATAAATTCTGTCCTACATATACAGAAACTGATCTACAAAGAGGTTTATTAATTTGCCAGACATCACACAGCTTCTAAGTACAAAGAGAAATAAGGAAACCAGTAACGGCGGAACTAACCTAACGGACTAATAGTCTCCATGAACCACAACCTTATCTACTTAGAGATCAGAACTACGTTGGTGCCCAGCTACCACTAACAGTTATTCTGATCAGGGACACAAGAGATGGATCCTGAGATAATGAGCAGTCTCCCCCTATGCTGCTTACAGCCTACAAAACCCTGCTGGAGGGTCAGCTGTGAGTCACTTCTGACTCGATGGCACAAAACAACAGCAACAAAACCTCACTGGAGGGTTAGCTCTGAGTCATTTCTGAGTTGATGGCACACAATAACAACAACAACAACAACACCCCGCTGGAGGGTCCACTGTGAGTCAGGTGCAGCTTCACAGCAGTGAGTTTTGAATTTTTCTGTAGAGGAGGGGGAAGTAAATAGACCTGAAGAGACCACTCAAGGGTGCAAGAGGGAGAAGAAAACCTCTAGAGAGCACGGGAGGCGATGGGTTCTCCTAGAAGGAGGTGGCAGGTGCCACAGAGACATTGAGAGGGTAAAAGCTGGTGGCTTCCATCTTCTCAGTGACTAGAGTCTTTTTCACGCTCAAGCACTGCTGACAGAATGTGAAGAGAGTGAGCAAGACTGAACAGGGGAAAACTATTCACTAACACATATGTGACTGTGGTTTTCTCTCTATGTGTGTCCATTGTAGGTGATTAACGAAGTCCAGAAATTTTACAAGGACACTTACGAAAAGCTGAAGTCAAAGGATGAGCCGCAGCGGGAAACACTGAAAGCCATCCATTATGCAGTATGTCATCTCGTCTGCAAAGATTCCAACCCTTCTTCTGATCTGTCTTCACAATATTCTTGTACACCACCTACCTACTGTGCTAGACCGGTTTCTAACCGTCTTTTTAATATTGTTTATCTCACCCTTATACTCATCTGTCTTTCTGCAGTTGGACTGCTGTGGTATGGCTGGAGGTTTGGAACAATTTATCGTAGACATTTGCCCCAAAAAGGAGCTGATTCCAACCATCACAATAAGGGTAAGCCTCAGATGAAGACTCCTGTACCCTCTGTTCAGTTGATCTGGACAAATCCTACAAAGGTAGACCGGAAATCAGCCTTCTGCTTCTGGGAGGGCATGTGTCTATGCACTTCACAGAGGTCTTGTCTATGTGTGAAAGAACCCCAGCACACACCTATCATTTCCTACCTGCCCTGAGGCAGCAAAACCAAACTATGACCTAGGGAAGAGCCAAGTATTCTAATCCCAGATTTAATTTTAAACCAATGTTTCCCACAACCCATGAACTCCACATATCTAAGGAAAGGTCTGCACTTAAGTCCTGACTTTTTGCAATGACCTATCACTACTTTTTCTTATTCATAAATAGCTTAAGTCCATATAGTTCAAGCTCTAGAATAAAACTTTCTGACTAGATCAGAAATAGACCCCAAAGCAGGGCCTTAACCCTCTACCTTCCCTGGTTTTAAGAACCAACCCCCCACCCATCTCTCTTACTTTTCTTTTCTGTCTGCCCTGTCCCTGTGTCTCCATCGATTCCCTGGAACCGCCATTGCGTCCTGTGTGAAATGGGTGCTGTGGGAGGGAGGGGATGCACCTGGCGCCAGGACAGTGTGTGAGCAACTTTTGCTATGCCTCCCTAGTCCTGCCCTGAAGCCATCAAGGAGGTCTTCAACAACAAGTTCCACATCATCGGCGCCGTGGGCATCGGAATCGCTGTGGTGATGGTGAGTGCATGGAGTATCCAGGGAGGGAATGGTCATCTCTGTGGTTACCACTGACTGAGCCCATGCTCTGTACCCAGCATACACTAGTGCAGGACGCCTACCAACTTATCTAATTCTTGCAATCCCTATAAGGTAGAGACTTACAATATTTCCTTTCCACAACTGAGAACAGAGAGAGAGGAAGGTTTAGTAAGCTGATGGAAGTCCCTCAGCTCATTAGCAAAGTCTCTAGGATTTGAACTCAACTGTGTCTCTAGAATCTATTAAGAGCAGGTGGTACCAGAGTCATTGGTGCCTGGCTTACACCCTGGGAAGAAAAGTTGGATTGCTGAGACCTGTTAGCTAGACTGGAAAAATCGCATCATGCACCTGCTCGTCTTTTCCCCAAGAGAACAATTCAGTATAAATTACATCAATTTCCCTGTCTTTACACCCAGATCCTTCCCATTTCCCCCCCCCCATCTTTCTCCATCCACCAAACTGCAGCCCTGTGGTTTTGCCCCACCCATCCTCACCCCTCCACTCCCATCCCTTCCTCCCTGGGCAAGATCCAAGGGTGATTAATTTTATAAAACATAATGCATGTGAATGATTGTATGAAACATAATGTGAATGAAGAATAGTGTGAAACAAACAAAAAAATTACATATCCATTCACCGAGTCAATAACAATAGTGTGAGACTCACCCTCAATATAATCAGTGCCTTTTTTCCTTTTCCCACTTTTCTATCAAAACTGTAAACAACTCATCACTCCCTCAAAAAATACATCCCTGCATCTCTGTGCACTTGCTCTCCCAATAATCAATATCTTTGTGGTACTATAAAAATATCTTCTGTTTTTCAGACTTTTACCCTCTCTTCTTTGATTCTATCCCTACAGAGTATTCACAGTTAACTATTAAACTATTAACTATTAAACATAAATTTGAGCATGCCAAGAACACCAGCCACCTAAATAAAATTCATAACTATCTAAAAAAAAAAAAACAAACTACATGAGTTGTGTTACCATGCCCTGCAGTCTGAACGGCATCTACAGGTGGACAGTCAGATGAAAGAGAAGATAGAAAGTCTTAAATAATCTACTCTTGGACTAACCAGCTTCTGGGATCCATCCAGGGCCAGTCAGGTTCCCTGGTGTCAGCCCTTATTTCCTCATGACACCATGGTGAGAAATTCATAAGGGACACATTTAAATTTACCCCTCAAGTGGGGCAGCCTGACTTCCTAGAAATGGTGAGACACCTCAAAAGAGAATTGCCTCCTTTCTGATTGGTGTACAACCCATATCTGCATCCAAGAAATAGCTTGAAGCAACTTTTCAGTAAAAGCTATAATAGCACCTCTTGTTAAAGTAACATCTAAAAAACACCCCAGAAAACTGGAAGCAAAAGCATTGGCTATTAGAGTATCAGAAATTAGAACATTAAATTTAGCTCTGGGCTTATTTGTCTCATTGTGAGAGTTCTCCAGGGAAGGTGTTTGTGTGGCTTCCAATGGCAACTGGCTGCTGACTCAGAATCCCACAAGTCCAGCAGTCCTTCCCATTATCTAGCCCACATCTCTCCTGCTTCAGTAACCTCCAACTCCTCTGGGCATCATCCTCTTGTGGTCTTTTGTTGTGGACTGAATGGCTGTGTCCTTCCCTTCCCCTCGCCTTCCTTCAGACAAAGCCACCCTGTTGCTCACGTTCCTTCCTGTCTTCCAGATATTTGGCATGATCTTCAGCATGATCCTGTTGTGCGCTATCCGTAGGAACCGTGAGATGGTCTAGAGTCAGCATGCACCCCGCCCCGAGCAGGAGAAAGTGACCCTTGCAGAGTTTGGATTTTGTTTCTTTGCCACTAACTTTAGTATTCATGCTGCATTTCTAAACAAGAAATTATGCCACGTTTGTCTTTTTTAATGCTTTCTTTGATATTGGCATTTATAGTTGAGGGGTTGGGGAGGTTGGTTTGCTTTTGTGGTTTTTCTTTTTTCTTTTTTTATTATTGTTTGTTTTAGCTTGTTATGTAAAGCAGAAATCCTGCAATGAAAGGTACTATATATGCTAGACTCTAGACAAAAGATAATGTACATAAATAAATTTTTTGTCATTAAATAGATAAAAATATCTATCATGTTTAATCAGGTTGTAACTTATATTGAAGACAATTTGATACATAATAAAAGATTATGACGATATCCTAAACTGTTGTTGGTGGGTTTTGTAGTTTTTTAAAGTGTCCTTGATCATTTATGTTGTTGTTGTTATATACTATCAAGTTGGAATCAACTCCTGGCTGACCCTCCAGTAGGTTTTCAGAGGCTGTAAATCACACAGGAGGAGATTGCCCATCTTTCTTCTGAGGCGCAGCTGGTGGACTCGAAGGACTTGCCTTTGGATTGGCAGCATACCTCCTACCCGAGCTCCCTTGAATGTGTATGTTATTGTGTTGTTAGGTTCCATCAAGTTGAGTACAACTTATAACAACCCAATGAACAACAAATCTGAACCTATTCTATCCTGTACCATTTTCATGAACTCTGACACTCTTGAGCCCATTACTACAATCACTGTGTTAAACCATCTCATTGAGGATCTTCCTCTCTCTCACAAACCCTCCACCTTGGTGATGTCCCTCTCCAAGGAATAGTCTCTCTTGGCAACATGGCCAAAGATGAAGCTTGTCATCTTTACTTCCAAGAAGCACTTTGGGTACATATTCTCTAAGACATATCTGCTTATGCTCTTGGCAATCCATGGGATATTCAATACTCTTCTCCAACACCACAGCTCAGAGGCATCAATTCTCAGTTCTCAAAAACAGAGAAGTGAGGGTCATGATACTTTCCTTTATTTTTCTTCTGAGCTACTTTGTTTTCAACCATCTCTCAAATGCTATTTGCTTTAATGTTTCCTTTATTATGAGACAGTTTTAGGAGGCTTGTCTTCATAGTTTACTAATAAATTAAGACATGGAGAAATTAAGGAATTTTGATCCAAAGACATACAGTTATTAATAGAAATTACAAACCTGGGGCCCAGTCTCTGGACTCTTAATTGGATAGTGAATTGCATCAAGAAGATAGAATAATATGCATACCCATGTTTATCGCGGCTTTGTTTACAATAGCAAGGAGTGGGAAACAACCTAAATGCCCATCAACAAACGAATGGGTAGAGAAGCTGTGGTATATCCGCACAATGGAATACTATGCTGCATTGAAAAACAAGGAACTCATGCAATATTATTCAAAATGGATGACCCTGGAGGACATTATGCTGAGTGAGGTGTCTCAGTCACAAAGGGACAAATGCTATATGGTGCCACTGTTGTAGAATGAGGCTGGCATCGGGGTGGGGGTAAGGCTGAGAAAAACTGGATGAAATATGTTTACGGCATTGAAGTCTATGGGGGAGAGAATAGTTTAAAAGTATTTTTAGGGCATTATGTTTATCGTTAGGAGTACGCAATGAGGGTTGCAGAGTGGATTATGTTTGGGGGTAGAGGGTGGGGTTTGGGGAGGTGCGGGGGGATTGTGTACCAATGAGGGAGTTTGCCTTTTGCTTTTCAAGGAGAGGAGCAAATGGGGGAAGGGGGGAGTGAGGTGGGGTGGCCGGGGAGAAGGGTGCAACAATGAATGAATGGAATTCCAAAATCTCTGTAGATGTTCATTGAAATGAATGAAAAATAAATAAAATATTAAAAAGAAGAAGATAGAACAGTATATGGGAACTCCATGGCAGGGTGAAGGGTACTTTGTTTTACTCGATGTTACATCCCCAGCCCCTCGAATCCATTGTCTAGTACATGGAAAATTATCAATTAGAGAAGAGCAACTATTATGAACTAGATATACACAAGGTAATGTGACCTTGCAGTCATTGGAACTTGATTATAAGCAGCCTTCATAAGACTATCCAAAGACTAATTGATTCCTTTGTATCGTGGTGTTGGTGAAGGAAATTGAGTATTCCCTCGACTGCCAGAGAAGTGTAGCCAGGGTACTCCTTAGAAGCAAGAAGGGGGCCAGTACTTGGAAGAGAACTTCATCCTTGGAAAGATCAGTGAAGGCAAGGGAGACCTTCGGTGAGGCTTTGACCTGGCTATAGCAATGGACTTGGCACAGCAGAGATTGGAGACATGGAGTAGGTTTCGATCTGCTGTACACAGGGTCACTGAGTCAGAACCCACCCCTAAAAATAACCACATACGAATGTATCATCTTTGTGCTTGAAGCTCAGAAAGCAAGCAGTCGGGAAGGAAAGACGGATGTAAGGCAGGTGAGGGGGTCCCAGGAAGCAAGAACATGCTGTATCCTACGAGGACAGACAAGTCCACATCCACTCTGGTTGCTTTTAACCTCGGAGTGTAGATCCAGCTTCTGAAGGAACTTCATAGTGGAGCTAAACACACCCAGCTCAGAAGTGAAAGAAGCTGAAGTGGATGAGATTATTTGTGGGCTACAAAATGACTGCAGCTTCATTTTCACCTTCTAAGCCACCAGAATCTGCTTGTGCTTCACCCCTAACTAGAAACAGAAGGGAATTCTGGGAAGTATGGTTCAACTGAACCAAAAAGCGTGATCGCATTGTCACCTTAGTGTGGGAGGTGAGTCCAATGTCTGTAATCTAGGAGTCATTCAGAGTTTAAAGCAGGCATCATGAGTGTGAGGCAAACACTTAGACAAGACTCATAAAAAGCCTATTTTTATTTTCCATTTCTTGAGCCTGTTTCAGATTTTTCGTATTAGTAAAGGGAAAGAGGGAGAGAGAGTCAAGTCAAAATGATCTTCAGTGCCAATGTTTAAAAACCAGGCAGGCTGTGTGACTATACTGGGGACTCCTGGCTACTCAGAAGCTCCAGGTTCCTTTTCAAATTGGTGGAAAGGACAGGTCAGCCATTCATTGTAAAGGGTGGAGATGGGTGGAGAGACTGGACTAATTCATGGTGCCATGAGTTCTGATCCCTTCTAATGTTCCCTTGCTTGCAAGTGCAGCTCCCTCCAGGGCAAACCAGCCCATGTACACACACTTTCCACTCTGCTACTTGGCTGATGAACGGGTAGATTTGGTTATATAAGAAGTAGAAACCTATTATTTTAAAAGCTACAAGTATCAATATACCCCTGTTTTTATGTTTGTCATAAATAACAAATCAACCACTTGGGCTACGAATCTGAGGACTTTATTAAGAACACAGGTATCTTACAGAATCCCAAAGTAGAAACCTAGAAACTCTGCAACCCTATACTTCAGCATGCTATTTTTTTTTCCTTTTGAAAGAAATAAATTTGCTATGATATTCAGTAGCTTAGGGTGGAAAAAAGCATGCCCCCTAACTCCCAAGTTTGAGAGAGACAACCTCTCATAGCACTATTTGACATCTTAGGAGAAATAATCTGACCCAGTTTCAGTCAAATGTCAGCCCCTGTTCAATCAGCTGTCAGGTGAAGGGAGAAAGGGGAAGCATTAGTAACAAAGGCTCAGTCACCCTCTCTGGCCTGGGCTCAGGCCCAGAAGAGGACAGCTCACCCTAATGGGAGCCAGCTCATCCACACTGCCCTAAACCAGACTGAACCAGTTTTCCTGACCTAGTAGACAGGTCCTGGGTAGCTCTGCCATAAAGGAAACACCACCAGTATGGCCTGCAGTTTTCAGGACCTGAAGAGGTTTTTGCAACAGAGACTTTAAAGGAAATTTTGAGTCACCGAGAAGTAACAATTTGCCAATAGTAGCAACAATTAGCCGTGGGTCCAGGAAAAGTCTGTGAACATAAAAGGAACAGGCAGTTGGGCTCGTTGGCCTCTTGGCTGGCTATGAAAAGCAGCCCAGGGCATCCAATTTGAATAGAAACAGCTGTTAGTAAAAGGTTATTACTTCATCCAGTGCACTTCAAGAGCTTTTAAATCTGTAGACTTCAAACTATCTTCACAAGGACCCGTCTCTCTGTATCTCATGTTCTCTAGAATGGGATCAAGGGGCACAAGAGTGGAGCCAAGATTCCACATTCACCCGAGGGCTTCTATGATGCTGTTCTTTCTTTTGATGATTGGGTAGGAGTGGGGTGGTGCTAGAGCCGAAAAGGGGTTAAAGTAGTTCATGAGAACATTCCAGGGATATAGTTAATTTTTATTTCACTGAAGAGATAGAGCATCTCATGAATTTGAGTATATGATAGATAAATATCAATGGAATTACAGCTCAGTCAGGCACATTCATAGTGGGACTAAACACTTCCATACAAAGAGAGAGTTTGCCCTGTCTGAATCAGCGGAAGAAGAACCTCAATATCACAAGAAAGAGCCAGGAGTGGAGCACTGTCTTTGGGCCTGGGTTTCTGCACTGGGCATCTTAGAACTGAAAAACACAGGAAAAAGAATGCCTCCCCTTAGAGCTTGCTTAAAGGCCAGCCTGAACGGGGACTTCGAGCCTCCAAAAATGAGCCACTTGTGGTAGCTCTGTTACAGTAGCATTAGATAACTAAGACTCGCACATAGTAGAGAATATGGAGGTGCTGCAGGATCTGGCAGCATTTTGTTCTGTTACACACAGGGTGCAATGAGTTGGAACGAACTCAACACCACCTAGCAATAGCAACAGCAGTCAATGTTTTAAATACAATGGAATATTACTATTACCTCTTTCATAAAGTTTGGAGGGACATCCAGTAATTGGAATACAGAATTATAGTCCAAAGGGATCTTAAAGACCATAATGATACGCTGTGATAACCAAAGAATGTTTTATAACAGGAATGAATAAAAACTAAACTGCCTATTCATATACGTG